AAGAATTTCTCAATATTTGCTTCCTTCCCAGGATCTTTCATTTTTTCCATTCCATAGAATCCTTCCCTTTCTGCTTTTAACATAATTTCCTCACCTGAGTCAGACACTCTAGAAGCTGAAAAGTTCTACTTCATATATTAACTATTTCATCTTTCTTTATTCTTAAAAATATTAATGAAATATCAATTCATTATTATTTTATTAACATGATCTTTGGATATGATCTATAAATACTGCTTCCATCTCTCATCATTAATTCTTCATAAGTAGCTTCCAATCTGTAATTTACATGAAACTATGGAAGTTAGCCAATGAAAACTTTCTTGCTTTTCTCAATTTTTATGCTCTTTGCCTTTTTAACATTTTTGCTACTCCTAACTACCCACTGAAATTCTCCACAGTTTTGCACGGCAAAATACAATCCTATGTCTTTTCCTACACTCAAGACTGCATTTAGTCTCTTCACTTCATTGGTTCCTCTCTCCTTTTTCAAACCCTACTTGGCATCTTCCAAGATTTCCTAGATTCTTCTCTTCTGTTAAAACCACCCAAAAAGCTCATCAAGCTCTATGGCTTCTGCTATGACTTTATATAGAAAAATTACAATTCTGTCAAGTTCTAGTCAAAGATCCTGTCTGTTTATTCTGCAGTGTTTCTGGTTACATTTCCAGGAAGATGTACTGCCACCTCATCTAAAATGTCATATACTTACTTAACAGTGAGCCTATGTTCTCCCTTAGGAGGAGTTCACCATCCTATCAGGAAGCATCCAACACAGAGTGCTAAACAGTCTGTATTATAAAAATAAAGTATTACTTTCTTATAAGCTTATGGCTATTTTTAAAGATAATTTGTTTATTTCTTCCATGAGTTAGAGAAATAGGGAAAAAAGAGAGAGAAAATGGCAGCACTCCCAACAGGGTCTTCATGCCGTGATCTACCCCCAGCTTCAAATCCCCAGAGATCACAGACATGTGTGCTCACTGTACTCAGGGAGGTCTCTGGACACAAACCTGGAACCTTTCCATATGGGTCATCCTCACAGGGCTTTTTTTTTTTTTTTACTGCTGCACCATTGTCCAGCCCCTCTGATTTTATTCTTAGCCTTAGTTCTATCTTAAATATTCTGCATCATCAGGCCAGCCTGTGGTCTGGTGGTTAAGGGAGCTGGATCCCACATGGCTGACCATGCTGTTCAGGTCCTGGACCTGGCAGCTTGAAAACTCACTAGGTGCATGTATGTACATGCTCAAAATCCTCCCCACTCCCCCTCCCAAAAAAGGGAGGAAGGGCTTGCAGCACAATCATTCCCCATGGAAAAGCAGTGCTCTCTCCTCCTCCGTCTCCCTCTGTCTCTCTAGCAAG